GTTACATTTCCTTTTTCATCTCTGATTTTATTGATTTGGGTCTTTTCTCTTCTTTTTTTAGTTAGTTGGGCCCAATGGGGTGTCAATTTTGTTTATTTTTTCAAAAAACCAGCTCTTCGTTTGGCTGATTTTTTGGAATGCTTTTCTTGATTCAGTCCTGTTGATTTCTTCTCTGATTTTAATTATTTCTCTTCTCCTACTAGATTTGGGTCTGATTTGCTGTAGGTTTTCTAGATCCTTGAGGTGAATTGAAAGCTCATCTATTTGGTGCCTTTCCAATTTCTTGATGTAGGCACCTATTGATATAAACTTTCCTCTTAACACTGCTTTTGCTGTGTCCCATAAGTTTTGGTATGTTGTGCTGTTATCCTCATTTACTTCCAGAAAGTTTTTGATTTCTCTTTTGATTTCTTCTATGACCCATTGCTTAATGTATGCTAAACTGATCTTCTGTATATAAAGAGTATAATGTACATTTTAAGATTTGATGACTGAGATTTCTATTCTGTTGAGTAACAGTGTTTTTTTCTTATTATCTTTTGAACTCTGACTTAGTGTAGGGTTAACCTTATGATCATTAAGTAAACTGAAAGTAGATGTTTATAAAAAATTAAGAGTGGGAATATTAGAGAGAAGTGAAGAAAGGTTTTAGAGTGGGCGGGAGGGAGTATAGGTTGTGAAGTTATCTCTATGTTCCTAACTTCATTTATGAAATACGTGAAACTCTACAACTTAAATAAAAACTTTTTAAAAATAAAAAATATATATACACATAGATAAAGAAATGAGATAATCAGGAAATAGATGATCTCAATCTCATTAGGGGACTACAGGGTATTTGAGAAGGGAAGGTTTCTTTTCTTTCTTGGGACAGTTAAATTAGATTGACCTTCATAGCTATTATGCTTGATATGATATCCATACAACATTTCCAGCTGTATTTGAAATGATTGGCATACCTGATCCACCAAAATACCAACCTATAAGTAAACTAAACTTCTCATTATTTTTCAAAATTATTTTGGGGTCAGTATCTTCAGTCTCATACCATGCTTGAGCAATGGAAGCTTTGAGGTTGAAGGAAACGTCACCAATCAATAGGTATCAAAATAGCTGAGATGGGAACAAGGTTTTTTGGAACTAACCTTTGGAACTTTTCTTGAAATTAACCATAATCTTTCCAATACATGTTGTCATGCAAAATTAATAATCAAATTGCAGGTCTGTTTCACATTAATTTTAGCTTGCCATCACAGGGCATGTACTCTGTCAACCCAGAATCCACAAAATAAGGCTACTTGAGTGTTAGAGACAAATGTGAATATTATTTCTGTTGATGTATCAACCTGTGTGACATTCAACATTATTAACCTCTCTGTGTCTGAGGTACTAGTTCTCTTTGATAGTAAATGACAATTACAACTTTGTAACTATGACTTTAAAATTACATTAGACTATAAAAATCTTTTAATATTATCTGAAATATGGTATTATTATATTAGCATATAAATTATTATTACATTTTGCCAATACTATTCATAAATGTGATTTTATTTCTAATTTAAGTTTTCATTTGCAAAGAAGATAGGAATAAAAGTTCTAATTCTTGATACTATCTCCTCAGGATAAAGACTTCTGGGAAAATTGAGTACCTGTTTTGAATTAATTATGCTGGTATCCAACAATACGTATGTAGCCCCCCAATATTTTATTCTCAATGGAATTCCTGGTCTGGAGAGAGTACATGTGTGGATCTCCCTCCCACTCTGCATGATGTATATCATCTCCCTCGTGGGAAACCTTGGCCTTGTGTATCTCATTTTTTGTGAAGAGTCTTTGCATCGTCCAATGTATTTCTTTTTGGCCATGCTCTCCCTCATTGACCTCCTTACCTGCACCACCACTCTACCCAAGGCACTCTGCATCTTCTGGTTCAATCTCAAGGAGATTAACTTCCATGCTTGCTTAGTACAGATGTTCTTTGTCCATGGGTTCACAGGTGTGGAGTCTGGCGTGCTCATGCTCATGGCCCTGGATCGCTATGTGGCCATTTGCTACCCACTGCGTTATGCTGCCATACTGACTAACCCTATCATTGTCAAGGCTGGGCTTGCCACCTTCTTGAGGGGTGTGTTGCTGATGATGCCTTTCCCATTCTTGGTCAAACGTCTGCCATTCTGCCAAAGCAATATCATCTCCCATACCTATTGTGACCACATGTCTGTGGTAAAGTTATCCTGTGCTAGCATCAAAGTCAATATCATCTATGGTCTGATGGTTGCCCTCCTGATTGGGG